GGCATGGAAACAAATAGAAAGAAACAGTTCCTGCCCCAGAAAGCTAACAGTCAAGAGAAAATGTAAGAGGTGATTAAAGAGACAAATAGAGGAAACAGGTAAAGAAAGTGTCTGCAGGCAGATATAGCTGTGTCAGTAATCTTAGACAGCTATCGACCTAACCAGTGCTAGATGGAAGTGCTTCTCTTGGGGCTTGTATGTACTATCTTCTAGTATACATTCTCACATAAGGTGTAATAGACAGACAGTGTCTGCATTGTGTTGCATTTATTCTTGCTATTTTTATCCTTTGCCATCCATCTGACGCTTTGTTCTGTTAAGGTATCAGTCATTGCCTTACATTAAATTTTATTTTTTCTAGTCTCAGTCTAACTCGGCCTGTCAGTTGTTTTGTTAATAGAAATAGAGAATCAGCCAAGTTTCCAATTTGTGTGTTTGAAAAATAATAGGCAAACACGGAGTATAATAAATCATTAGTCCTTATGGACTGTATCGCCCTGCAACAGAGTCCCTATTCCAATCCAGTTATAGGAGCTGAAATTTTATTTGAAAGCAAAAATCTGATAAGGCAAATTAATTATTGTGACATTTTTCAATTGGGTAAAAGATGAGGAATCAGCTGTGTCTGTGAAATTACAAATGAAAATGCAACACTCAAGACTTGTTAATGCTTTTTTTGGCATCGAGAAAGGAGACATAGGTATCTAATATTAAATGGTGTTGCAGAAGGGCAAGTTAGCACTTTGTTTGCCAAATTAAGTTTCAAAGACTATGTAGGTTATGAAGTTTGACTTTCTGCCCATAAATCTTGAATGACTGTCAGACTACTGTAAAATAGCTTTGTTCAAAAGAAATCTTTGGCAGGCGGCATCAAAGGTTTGCAACTCTGGAAGGGATGAAAAGAAAATCCCACTTTTACACTGATTTCCCCTGCAGATCAATGTCTGTGTGACATTTGCCTGGGAATTATGAGCTATTTACTGTATTATGTGCTGTTTTCTTTCACTGTATCCAAAGGCCCCTATGGTTCCTTTTATCTTCAAGATTTAGGGATATTTTTGTACATGAAATGTGAATGAGTGAATGCGTCAGTGGAACACAGGGAAAGAACGCTGGTTTTAGGTAGTTCTGTTCTCTCTTATTTTATCGCAAGCTGGAGTATTGGTTTTATGGCACCTTAATTTATGGGTACATATTTTTATGGTAAAGCCCAATGACATATTCTGCATGCTCCATCAAGCTCTCTCAGTGTTTCTTCACTTGATTCACAACTCTGCAGGGTATGAATCAGTCCCATAGTATAACCCTTAATCTCTTTTTAACCAGAATAATGTAGTGTGTTTTTTTTATTTATGGATTGTCATCGTGTCATCATCTAATTATATAAAGCAAAGAAGGGGAAAACAAAATATTTCCCCAAAAACTCTTGTCAGCTGTTGATCAGTGCAGGTAGATGAAGTTTCTTTATGGCATATAAGCAGCTGAGGCAGAAGATTCTTCGCAACTCACAGATACTTAATGTATCTGTGTAGTGTGGCACTGCTGGGGCATGGGCTAAAGGGAAACTGTCCTAGTAGAGCAGTTTCTGCTTAGAAACACAACATACCTTCTCAGGTACGGTGAGAGGCTTGAGGAGAAGGAAAGCTCCCTCTACTTTCCATTGACTCTTTTTAGCTTTCTGTATGCAGTGGTTAAAACTGAATTGACAGAAGGCGCTTAAGCCCTTGTTTGTCTTCCACAGGGTGAAGTGAAGAAGTGAAGCCTCCCAGCTGAACTACTATGAGGTCAGAAGCCTTGCTGCTATATTTCACACTGCTACACTTTGCTGGGGCTGGTTTCCCAGAAGATTCTGAGCCGATCAGTATTTCGCATGGCAACTGTAAGTATAAGAGGCCAGAGGACTTCATTTGCTTAATACTGATCAGGGGACTTCAAATCAACAGTATTTTGTTAGAGTTGCAATGAATAAAGCTGTTTTTCTTGACGTCTCCCACATCAGCCAATTTACATTCTCAGATACTAATATAGGAACACAACTTTTTCACGTTGCCTTATGACTACAGGGTGGTAAACTTGCTTGATCTTCCAAAACCATAGCCTTTCTCCTTGTCAAACAGAGACGCTTCAGTAGCGTAATCAAACCAAATATCTTGCTCTATCCAGCAGCAAAGAAAGGAAGCCTTCTCCCGGCCCCCCGGCCCATAATCAAAGTGTCCCTCACCTGACTTGTGAAAATGTAGTTCTGGGTAATCAGTGAAGCACCTCAGAGTATCAAGTATAGCACACTAAAGTAGCTGAGCTCTGCAAACATGATTTGTTGATCTAATACAAATAATTGAACTTACTTCTTTAAGCTCTGATGGATTCTGCTTTAGCATTAGGCATTTTTTGCTAAGCTGGAAATGTAGCTAAAAACCAAACCAAGATAAAGAATCTTTTGTAACAGAATCTCTCTTCTTTCTTACCAGCAGTAATTGGCAAACTCTCCAAAATCTAGGGTAACATAGACAGCTGTGAGTCAGTATTGAGATTTGCTGGCTGAACAGGTGAAGAGCTTTCTGTGCATTTCACCATGCAAGTCGGGCTTAGCATAACTGATTCTTTCACATTTACCTCAACTCGATTGCGATTACTGCAAAGAAAAGTCATCTGAAGTCCCAAAGGTTCAGATGTTTAAAAGGAAGTCTTTAGTGCCTGGGTCTGTAAAAGCGTGCTAAGGAGTAGGGAGTCAGCAATGAGTAGGCTTATGTTTAAGCCTAGTTTGGGTCAGGAATTTGAATTTAAAGTGAATCTATTGATTGTCCTTGCTTTGAGGTGGCCTTGGCACCCGTAAACTTGTCTGTCTTGGGTAAGAGCAAGCTGAAAGACAGATTCCAGGGGCGCACTTGATGTGCTCCAAATGGTAATAGGCATCTGGGATACAAGAACAGGGCAGAACTGCTCTGAAGCAAACCCTGCTGAAACATGTCTAGTGTGAACACTAGGTCTTCAGCACCAATATTTTCACCCTCCAGAAAGTTGATGCTAATTGTCCTTGCTAATGCAGAAATAGCCAGTCTTGATTCTTTTGGAGAAACAGAACATGGGATAACTTCTTCCTCTGTGGCATGGCATGCTGAAATGCACATGAATGTACAAGCCCCCAGCTCGTGCTAGATCTGTGAGTTACAGAGGAAACGGTACTAGACAGAGAACAGCTCGACAGTGAAACTTGGCATTTTGCATGTAGGACTTGGTCAGAAGGATTAAGCTTCTGAACATAAATCCTGCCTGGGCTATCTGAATTTCTTTCTCCAAGAGTTCTCAGCATCTGATTTGCAGGGAAGTTCCTCTTTCTATAGAGTTTGATCACCAGGCTTTCTGGCGCATGGCACTCTCAAGTGCTCTGCTGAAGCCATGATGTGAATGAATACTTTGACCAAGCTTAACAGGGAAAATACTTTTAGAGGATAATAGCTGAAAACACTATAGCAGTAGCTGAGTTTCTGAAGAAATAGACTCCCTCAAACAGCTCCAGGTTTCTGGGAAAGCATATTGATGGGGAAGAGGCTCAGGCATAGCTAGATGCTAGTCAGCTCTGTATAACACGCACATGCAGTAGTTCTGCATTGATGATGCTGCTCATCAGAGGTTTATCCTCCTCCTGTCTTTTGTCATTTTGTTTACTTAACTAGCTCCCTAGTTTGTGCATCTAGATATCATGATCACATATACATATGAAGTATAACGGCAAGGTGGCCCTTGGTCAGAAGTATTCACTGTTGTTATAGGTTGTACACACAGATCATCTAGTGAGCAGCAGCACACCCCATGTATGCTTAGGTCTCACCAAAAAAATTGTGGGAATAGAGTGAATAAATGCTCTTGCTGACTGATAGAGTTGGGGGGGGAAGCTGACTTGTTGATAACATAAGCTCAGTACAGGGCTTCCAGTCAGTATTGTTGTCCAGATGCCAGAAGAACTGGAGTATCAGCTGGTTGCCAAAATAATATGCAGTGACTTTCATTCTATAAAGTTCAAGTGGTGGTTTTCCACCATTTCTCAGAAATCCCCACAGCTGTTCTATGATGGCAGTCCAATCCTGTAGGAAACCCAGGCAGCTGGCAGTTTGAACCAAGAAGAGCAAAGTCTTTTGCTTTAACCACTACCAGTCCAGTCATTGTGGTGACTGATGGGCCACTATGAAACAGCTTTGTCCTGCTAGACACACTTTGGCAGCCAGGAGCAAGCATTTAAGCTCTGCAAGCAGTGAAAGAAAAACTGTGAGTAAGTGCTGTGTACCTATGTGCCAAGAGCTCCAGAACAGCTTTACGCTCTAAAAAAACTCACAATTTTTGTCTTCTACAAAGATGATGACTGTCTCCTTTGCAGCTGCAAAGACTGAAGAAGAAGTCTCCAGCCCTCTGTGCTCATGCCTTCCAACCCCAGGCTGTGGTGCCGGGGCAGAACAGAAACCACAGGTTTTGGCCTAGCTAGGCCCCATAGTGCTCCATGTTAGCACGGTTTCAGTTTGTGATTCTCTTTTGACTCTGGTTTTTTTTCCCTTCCCGCAGATACAAGACAGTATCCGGTGTTTGTGGGTCACAAACCAGGGCGGAACACCACGCAGAGGCACCGGCTGGACATCCAGCTGGTCATGGTCATGAACAGGACCCTCTACGTTGCTGCTAGGTCAGTAGTCCCCTGCTTGCCCGCTCCTCCCTTGCTGCTTTCAGAGGAAGAAGGAGAAAAAGAAGGGTATTCTGAGTTCTTTTCTGCTGGACACATTATTTTTAGGATTTTCTCACACTCAGAGAGGGCTTTGCAGCCTGTTAGTAAGACATATTAGAAACCTTGTTAGTTGGTCAACTAAGGTTCGGTTTTGCGAGGTGCTGAGACAGTCCTTTCAGGACTACACACCTCTGCCCTCCTTTGAGTCCGGCAAGTGGGAAGTTGCCAGAGAAATTATTCAGCCCCATGGAGGATAGAGTCCGTCCTCATCCTGTAATTTTTTTTGTGTACACCATTAATGACATATTTTAGAGAATGATTCTGCTGGTGCACAAATGCGTGTTCGGATAGGAGTTATTAAACTGAAACGTTGCTGTTTTAGGCATGTTTTTAACATCTTAAGACAAAAAAGAGGCAAACATGTTTGCTGCTGTTCTTTTGGTGTACTCTGCAAGGTTAATTGAATTTGGTGTCTGGATTTTTTTTGAGAGCTATACTGTGCAGATACAAGCACATGCCTTTTTATAAAAGTTGTCTATAGAGCCACCCATTCAGTTTGCATAGCTCAGCATGGCACCATCAGCTTCACTGATTTATACAGCTGCCAACCTGGCACAGATCAGACATTAACACTTCCTCTCCCTCCTTGTTGTTAGCAAAGGAGATTGACGATCTTAGAGTGGGAATTACCTCATGGACACAGGATAAATGCAAGAAGGGTCCAGATTAGCAAGGGTGGGTAGTCCAGCTTAGGAGCTCTTGGACCCAGATCCTGTTTGGGACCTCCCTGCAAGCTGCCCCTCAGTAGCAGCTTGTTTCCTGCCAGTTTTCTGGTCCTTCTCCTCCATCGGAGAAATACACACCCTTCTGTGTGTGCCACAGAGAGCCAGGCTGTCGCTGCAGATGGGAGGAGTGGTGGGTGGGATGGCCAGGAGGTGAGAGGGAACAGCTGCTGAACAGGCAGCCTCTCGCCACCAGCCCTGTCCTCAAAGCCCTTGGCAGCCTCCGGAAGCTGCCTGGCTTCCTTCTCAAACAACCACTCCCCATCTTCTGGGTGGTCGGATGTGTCCTGTGGTGGAGATCTGCCTGTTGATCTCCACTCGACATCGAGTAATTAGTTGCATTACACCAGCAGAATCACTGAGTGCCGTTTTTACGTAGTTGTGTCCCTGGCTGCAGGAAGACCACACTTCTACCTGTTGTCCTACCCAGGCATTGCAGCCTTACCAGCTAAGCGCAGCTTCTTTGGGCTTCTCACATACGCCAGTTAGTACGGGATCTGGGTGGCAGAGCTCTGGGGTCTCACTTGTGCCAAGCCCTTACGTCAAATCTGGGCAAAAAGCGTGCATCCTTGCACGGGGAGCTGCGGTGGCATTGGTTGTAGGGCACAAAGAGTGGGCAGCCCCACAGCAAGGCCTCCCTGCGCTTTGCCTGAGCTCAGGGCTTGGTGTTTTTGCTGCATTTAGTGTGATAATGAGTGGAGCGGGGGAGCGGGCTGAAGGGGTTTTCAAAGGCGGTGGCAGGATTTCCTCCTTTTCATCGCTGAGTTCCCTTTGCTTTCCTTATTTGTTTTCCTTTAAATTAGGAAATCATTTGCAGTGAGAAGGTGGTAAATCCGTTTTGTGGATTTTGCTCTGCTGTATTCATAGTTTGTTCCCAGACTGGGATTGACGCAATTAGACTGTCACAGTGCCCAAGCAACTGGTATTACAGCAGGAAAACCCAGCGAAACATTTTGGGATACAAAACCACTGTGTGCACAAATTATATAAAGAATGCTAATATTTGGGGTGTAGTATGTGTACTGATATGTGAATATGCATTCTTACATATTACGTGGCTATATATTTGTATAAAACAGTTTACTACAATAAGAGTGCTTATATACTTCTAGGGTGTAGTGACCTACAAAAAAGAATAAAGACCTGGTCTGTTTTGTATTTACACAAGCCCAAAAAATCTTCTTAAATTTTTTTCCTATGGTAACTCAAAAACTCTTTGACATATTCTTTTCCCCCTCCACATGTTACTGAATAAAATCCCTGCTGGGCTGAGAAGCCTATGTGATACAAGTTAAAATTCAAAGGTCATTTTTATCTTTAAGTAATAAACTTCAGAAAATGAGTCATCCTTTGATAACTAGTGTTATGAAAGTTTATAACTGCAATACCGCTTCTCCTTTAGAGGTAGTAGTAAATCTAGAGACTGAAGCAAACGTGTACACAATCAAAGGTCTTTCTCAAAGAATTTTGTAACAAGATTCATTGAAAACTGCAGCTAACATAAATCCCTTAGCTATCATATCAGATGTTGCTTTCATGCTGTTTTTTTTAGACCAGCGTTTTGATATTGAAATATAGCGATGCTAAGTTTACGTTTGTACCCAATTATCAAAAGCAATCAAAACAAGTGATTAAACATTGAGAGTTTTTATTTTGGGGTTGTTGAGTTTGGGTTGGGTTTTTTGTTTGCTTGTTTTAGAAAATCCAGCGTTTACTTTGCAGACAGTTTCCTTGCGCAGGAGAGGACTAACTCAAATTTGAGAACCACTAACACTTTATTACTGAGCAACTGGCATAGAACAAAATTTCTGTCTGTCAGTTGCTTATTTTGTAATACGGAATACGTGACTCCTGATTAGCTGTTACCAAATAAGATTTTGTGTGGCTTCGGAAAGGCTTTATTTCATATTATCAGGCAGAGATATCCAGCCAGTATAAATGAGAATAACTCAGCCAAAGCCCATGAAGCTGTGCTGTCCGAATATCTGGCTTGCAGTCTGCAAGGAACCAGCTTTGTTTTCTTTTTTCTCGTGGGAAGGGTACTCCCTCGCTGCCTCTCTCACACTCGCCCACACCCATGCACACACACCCTTTTCTAAGTTTGCCATGTCTCCTCCTCCCATTGTCTTGTGCGGTGGCAGCTTTTGTTCACATTATCTGTCACCCCTCATGTATATGTACAAAACGGTTTATTGAGCCCGCGAAGCATCAGGATGGCTCCCTCCTCATTTGCAGTTACACATTTCCAGACGATGCACCGAGTGGCCAAGGGTCATGCACAGCCGGTGGCATTATTTAAATTCCCTTCCTCCACAAGATTATGCCATGGCAACAAAACTCGGTTCTGCTGACTGGAGGTGGGAAAAACGGAAGCTCTAGGATTAAGTCAATTTGTGTTAGAATAACTTAATTAGCAGCGAGCTGTACGCATACCACAGCTAGTAGATAGTAGGAGTTAGGAAGCAGTGGGAAAAGGAGAGCAAGGACAATCCCGCATTGTCTGTGGTTAGAGAGCCCTCCCCTGAATTTGACAGCTCTTTCGTTCTCTGCTGACATTGTCAGCAACTACGTTTTCACGTACAGCATCAGAAAATTATATGTAATTTGCCTGATACTAACCCTCTTTCAGATGATCCTGTAACTTAGCATCTGAGTTTTCTTTGAACTGTTTCTTGAACCGGAAAGTAAGTCCCCTGAAAGCTGTTTTAGTGAGAGTGGAACTAAATAACTCAAGCCTCATTCAGAATACCACCACTGTATTTTCTAATTGTCTTGCTTAAAAAGAAAAAATCATAAACACTGGAAAACAAGACTGATGGTTAAAATCAAGACCTGTGCTGGAAGAAGGTTTTTAGAGCTCCAGCCACACCTAATTTGCAATTCAAGAGATTTCGTTCCCACTTTTATATAGTAGGAGTGACAGCAACAAAGAGCGATATAAAGAAAAAGGGAACCATGCAGTAATCTATGAAGCTGATATCATGCTAATAGGTAATTTTAGTCCAGCACCAACCCTGACCACTGCTCTGCCAGTAAAGTCAGGGAAATAATAAACCGAAGCATTAAACCAATCTTGGAAGTAAATGACAGCTCTGGTTTTACAGAGTCTGGAGGAGAAGAAAACCCACAACTCTTCAGTTTGGCATCTTACAAAGCAAACAGCCTCAAGCACCACAGCAGACTTTTAAAAGCCAGTTCCCCGCAACAATGCTGCCTCTTTTCTCCACGTGAGAGAAGTGTTGCTTATTCCTTTTATAGCAGTGTTTTGTGTCTGCTTTATTTAAGAGACTAGCACTGTTTCCCCAAAACCCAGTAAAATGAAGCCAACCTTGAGAGCAGGGATTTGTAAAATGGAAACAGGCTGTATCCTACTTTCAGCAGACCCCTCCAGTGCTGTGGATCATGCTCCAGCTGCCCAGCTTCCTGCATTTTGAAAAAAGCCAATGTTATTTCGAGGAAAAATGAGATTGTCAGTCCCAATGTGATGTGGCGGTTACTACAGCATTGTGGGTTGGTGGGTTTTTTCAAATTTTAGGTTCCAAACAGAAATGTCCTTGTTCTCAGCTTACATAGAGGAGAATGTTTAAAAATACCTCTTTACCTGCATAGCTGATTCTATTTCCTCTTTCCAAGAAGAGATTGGCAGCTAATTGTAGAGAGGGACAGATTCTCAGGAAAACAGGAATGTAAATGCAAGCAAGAAATGTGAACTTTTTTCAGAAGAGTATTTTACAGTTTAGTTTGGCCACCAGTGTGTGAAGAGAAGAATGATTTCTGGGAATAGTTTTGTGGCTGTCAGCCTTTTGCCTACCATATTGTCAATCAAATTATCACAGCTGAGGTTAGACATAATTTAAAAAAAAAAAAAAAAAAGAAAGAAAGAAGCATTAACCTCTTGTTAACCCTGAATGGCTAAATGTGGCACAGTGACTGCTAGCCCAGGAATCTGGCAAAGGCTGCCTAAGAACTATTGTAGCTGATTTCAGAATATGCAAAAACATCTGCATGCTAGATCGTAGCATCTGCTGTAGGACCTATACAGCAGAAATGATATGAGGCTCATCTTCCTTCCAAAATCTCATTTGTTCAAATAATTGCTTCTGGGAAAGAATCTTGCTTTGAAGTTTTGCAGCATTTTTCTTTTTTTCTTAATGGGAAGGAAGATAGTTTATATACGAAAGTGCTTTTCTGGGAGAAGCAGGCAATGCTGTCAGTAATGTTCCCTGGTAAGACCTGTGATCTTTTTTTGAATGGATTATGGATTAGCTTGTGATAGATAGCTCTCTTCATAGAAAATGAACTGTCTGACTACTCCATTTGACTTTGCATTCATTTGCCTTTGTTTACAGGGACCATATTTATACTGTTGATATGGACACATCACATACAGAAGAAATTTATTTTAGCAAAGTAAGTAGCTTTTATCATCATCCAGAAACCAAGGACACTAGAACAAGCTTCAAATAAATAGGAAGATGACATTGTTTCAAACAACTTGCCAGCGCTGCTGTAAAAACTGTAATAAGCAAGTAAGATGGCATTGCTAATCATATTTGGGGAAAGCTAGAATAGCAATCATGTCCTCTGTGAATTTCTGATAAGTGATTTAGCTAGGCTGATAAGCAATCCGTACTGAAATACAGTGAGGTCCCTGATGGAACATCTGTCAAACATCTATTCATTTATATTCAGCAGTTTTCTATAATAGCTATACCATCCCAATTAAGTACACTGAAACTTTCATCATAAAAATCAAGTGCTATTTACATATTTTCATGTACACAAATTTTATTCACTCATGCAAGTACTCACTAGATAAAATCTTATTATAACATCACTTGGTAGATGTATTCACATTATCTCCATGGGAAGTTACATTCAAACTAAGAAGAGCTTTGTCTGCATTACCATATTGTATATTAACATAAACATGCTAGAAATAATCTCCTTTCAGCTCCTTTGCATCGCATACACATTGTGTAATATGTGCCAAACACAGCCTTGGTCCAGCAGAAGATCATACGCATTTGAGCATCGGATGAATTCCACTGTAGGAGTGGAGAGTGTTTCATTATAACTATGAATGATGCTGAAGATGAGCTTGTGACCAATTGCTCATGAAAAAGTGAGGGCACAGGCTTGTAATGGAAAAAAACATTCATGGTTACTCTTTCAGCTTGGGACCCTCCATGAATGCACAATGCCTCAGTTTACTGATGGGAAACACTGTCAGGACTGTCGTGGCTGTAGTGTCTAAGGTGTTACTATCTTAGGCCATATGTTTTTAAATAAAATTTTCTTTTAACTAATCAGCCTACCACATTTGACCACTCCTGAAACTCATCACAAAAAAGTCCAGGCTGGGATTTACCTGTCTATGTTCTAGGGGAAGAGTATTAGCGGATGAAGTCAGCAGCATCTTGATAGGTGGAGGGCTTTCTGAGCCTGTTAGCTGACTTGAAGTGATAAGAATTACCTGAATTTGATTTCCTTGCTAATCTAAAATGTCGTCTTCCAGAATACATATTTAATTTAGAATCCAGTTAGGGTTCATAGTCCATAAATGTTTATTCTGATTTGCAGAACAGTATCGAATTAACAAAAGAAAGCATCTAGTACTTTTAAGAAAAGTGCACATATTTTTGAAAGTTGGCCTATTGCTGAATTCCATTGGTTTAGGCTTTAAAAAAATGGGATAGGTTTCTAGTCTAATAAATAGATGGCAATACAAAATTAAATGTATGCTCCACATCACTGATCTTTCATTGTTGTGGTGAATTAATCATGGAGAAAGGGTGCAGAAAGCTTTCAATAAATATATGTTCAACAGCTAGTCTCCCCTAAGGGACTTCTGAAATCAAATGCAACAACCTCTGGGCCCTAATTGATTTCTTTCTTGATCCTTGCAGAAATTGACATGGAAATCTAGACAAGCTGATGTAGACACATGCAGAATGAAGGGAAAACATAAGGTACGCAATTTTCTTTTCTTCTGCATCTGCTACTTTAGTTTAGTTACTTCACTATTATCTTGGGCTGCTGTCTGTGATGTGGAATAGATCTTGCCATTCACTTATTGCCAGTAATTGCTTTTTCCATCAACTTACTGAAGGCTTTAATTTGCAAAAATAGTTTACTTTTAATGTGATAAAACATTACAACAGGAGCCACAGCAATATCCTGAAATACTTAAAGCACTGGGGATTTTGGACATAATGTTTAGCGTACTGATTTTGCTTACCTTTGCTCCAAAAGCTAAATGCTGCTGTCCGTCCTCCTGCAGGAATTTACTGAGAAGTTTGTGTAAAGCATCAGAAAGCATGAATGTGTACAGTTGTAGAAGGACTGTTTCTCACACCAATTTTACCCTACTGTGACCTATGACTAGTACAAGTGGTATCAGAGTTAGATGCAGACTCTTTGATTCTTTACAGCTGCTTCCCCTTATAGTTACAGATGCTTTATGCCAGTACATTGCATTGGTGATGCTAAAGTCTTACAGCAACATAGATGAGGAGATCAGATTTTTCACTCTTGAGGAAAGCAACAGCATTCAAACAAAATTCACCTATGTGAACAATAGCAAAATCTGAGCTATAATATGAATATCATATCTTCAGTTCTTTGTAACCATTTTTAAACCCCTAGAATATAAATCAATTGCATCTTGCTCATCGTCAGTTAAACATAGTTGAAAGAAAGCCCAGAATATCACAGTGGCTACTCGCCAATTTCATTTTAGACCTGACAATGAAGTATCATGGCATAAAACCAGACACCCAAAATCCAGTGGCTGAAATACTTTTTATTATTTTTCTTCAGGATGAATGTCATAATTTTATTAAGGTTCTCCTAAAAAGAAATGAGGACACATTGTTTATCTGTGGAACAAATGCATTCAACCCTTCTTGCAGGAACTACAAGGTATGTGATCTGTTTGTGGGATTTCATTTATGCCTTGTCTTTCTGTTGGATTTATTGTGACTATGCTGGCAACAGCATGAGGTTGTCATTCAACAGTGCATCATTCAACTTTGTAGCGTTTATCCTGACTTGTTTCAATGCTACAGAGCTCAGTGTTGATTGGATTTCTGAGGATTGCTCAAATTGATTACCTACTTCTTTGCAACTCCTGCACATCAGAGTTTATTGTCACTTTGCATTGCCCTCCATAGGTGCAGAGTCCTTCAGATCCCTGCTTGGGAATATGGTCACTCCTCAGAAAGTTCCTCAGCTTGTCACTGTCACCCACATCAAGTCATAGACTGATCATAGAATCATGGAATCATTTAGGTT